CAGTGGCATGTTTAAGGTCAGCAGGGGCAATGCCAGAAGAGAGAGAGCAGTTGAAGATGTGCGTTAAGGAAGGCACAAGACAAATGGAGAGAGATCTAATAAGGTGAGATGGGACAAGATCGAGCGTGCAAGTGGTGAGGCGAGAGGAAAAGAGAAGAGCAGCCACCTCTTGGTCAGTAGCCGGGGAGAACGTCTGAAGGGTAGGAAAGGCATGATCTATGTGTGGTTGAGAAAGAGAACGGCAAGGAGGGGAGAATTCTTTCCTTAGCTGTTCAATTTTGTCGGTAAAGTAACATGCAAAGCTATCAGCAGTAAGATTAGTTTGGGGGGTGGCCACAACAGGGCAAAGAAGAGAATTAAAGGTGTCAAAGAGACGCCTGGGATTGCGGGAGCATGAACTAATGAGAGAGGAAAAGTAGGATTGTTTGGTGAGGGCAAGGGCTGCGCTGTATGAACACAATATGAATATATAATGGAGAAAGTCTGACTGGGTGCGAGACTTCCTCCAGGAGCGTTCAGCACAACGGGAGCATCTTTGCCGGTAGCGTGTTGATTTAGTATGCCATGATTGGGGGCGGGTCCTCCTTGAGGTACTTGTTTGGGGTGGTGCTGCAGTGTTCAAGGCAGAGGTGAGGGTAGTGTTATATGCGTAGATGGCCAGTGAAGGACAGGAGAGGGGAGGGATGGATAGCAATTGTGAATCAATATCAGCTGACAGTTGCTGGAGAGAGTCCCTCCTGAGTTGAGGGGGGTTAGGCTGAGGTTGTTGGTTGAGGGGGTACACAAGCGCAAACAATAAGAGGTGGTGATCAGAAAGAGGAAGTGGAATGTTGCAGATATTAGATACTGTACATGAATAAGAGAAGATTAGGTCAAGGGTATTGCCAGCTACATGGGTGGGAGAATTAGCCCTCTGTGATAGCCCGAGGGAGGAAGTAATTGAAAGTAGTTTAGAGGCTGTAGAGGTCAAATTTGGGTTAATGGGAATATTGAAGTCCCCGAGAATTAGGGATGGAATATTAGAAGAGAGGAAATAGGGTAGCCAGGCAGCAAAGTGGTCAAGGAAGAGAAGAGGGGAACCGGGGGGGCAATAAATAACAGCAATGTTGAATGTATTTCAAATGATGGGAAAGAGAGGGAAGGGGGGGTGGGTAGAGGTTTAAAGGAGCAGTGAGGGGAGAGGAGAAACCCTACACCACCACCTTTACATTCAGAGTTTCTTGGGTTGTGGGTAAGTTGAAGACCACCAAAGGACAAAGATGCAGGGGTAGCAGTGTCAGAGGGGAAGAGCCATGTATCTGTTAAGGCTAGTAAATCTATTGAACGAGAGATGAAGAAGTCATGGACAGCAGTGGATTTTGTTATATTGCAAACAGAGCGTGCATTCCAGAGGGCAGTATTGAATGAGGATTTAGACGAACATGAGATGGGTATGAGATTAGTGTGGATCCTTGGGTTAGTATTGTAGCGGTACTTACTTACCTGGGGGCCGGCCGAGGTCCTCTCTTCCCGCCGCACGCGGCTCTCGGATGAAGGCGGGCACGGACCGCGAGATGCGGTCACGTGTCCCGCCTAGCTCTAAGAGCGTGCCGCGCGTCTTGGGCACGCTCTTAAAGGGGCAGTGGGAGCCAAAAAATACAACGGTCTCCCACTGGCCCCTGTCATCCCACATTCCCCATAAACTCACATTTTGGGGGCGTGGATATGACAGGGGCCAATCAAAGTAAAGGTTAGGGTATTTATACTTACCTCTCCCTTAACTCCCTGCCCCATCGTGGTTTCTGTTCCAGTTCCCTTTAACACTTGTTGTGTTCAATTGTGATTTTCGTGCTTGACCTTGGCTTTGTATCTGACTCCGTTTATCTCTCTATCCCTGTTTTGTCTTGTTTGCCGGCTTACTGTCTACTGTGTACCAGACCTTGGCTAGTTTTTGTTCTCGCAGTCTCTTTGTTCCCTTGACCTCTGCTTGTTCTTGACTCTGTCTATTCTCTGCTATACGGTGAGTCCGGCCATTCTAAGGTCCGGTAAGACGTATCTGCTCTATCTGTCGATTGTTGGACTAAATCTTGCATGTTGGGGTAAACTACCGTGACATTACGATAGGGCCATGGACCCTGCAGATTTAAGTCAGCAATTGGCTTCTCATGAGGCTAGATTTACAGAGCAGGATCACCGTATGGATCAGATAGTGCAGGCCCTCCAGACACTCTTATCTAGAACTACTCCGGTAACAGGACCAACTCCTACTGCACCTCTTGTTCCAGATGTATCCACCATACCTAATGCTTCTGCACATTTAACCCCTCCACCTAGGTATGGAGGGGATGCTAAGACATGCAGAGGATTTATTAATCAAGTGGAATTCCACTTTGAGATGTATCCACATTCCTTTCCCACTGATATATCTAAAGTTGGATTCCTTATGCACCAACTTACTGATAAAGCACTTGAGTGGGCAAATCCTATTTGGGAGGCTAATGGACCTATGGTGCATGATTTCACTAGCTTCCTTACGGCTTTTCGTAGAACCTTTGACACAACTAAAAGGTTGAAGAATGCCGCCAGGGCATTAATGAGAATTAAACAGGGATCTAAGTCTGTTGCCGATTATGCTATTCAGTTCCGTACCCTTGCTTCGCAGGTAGATTGGACCAACAATGGGCTAACTACAGCATTTATAGAAGGTCTATCTGATACTATATTGGATGAGGTAGCAGCTAGGGATCTTCCTATCCCATTAGATGACCTTATCGACTATCTTATTGATATAGACAATAGGATTCGTGATAGACTCTATACTAAGAATAGGAATAGACGTTTTGCTACATGAAATACTCCTAGAGTTGCTAATCCTGAGAGTTCCAAGGTATCAGAGGAGGAACCCATGCAATTAGGGGTTGCCAAACTCTCTGATGCTGAAAAATTGTATAGAAGAAAGGAGGGACTTTGCCTGTACTGTGGTAGGAAGGACCATATGCTAAAAGAATGTCCCGTGCTTCCGGAAAACTATCGCACTTAAGGCCATATAAGGGACTGGCCTTGGGTGTGATATCTAAGTTCCCAAAATTGCCACTTAATCGACTTCTTCTCCCTGTTTCTCTGCATCTGGAGAATAATTGCATAGCAAGAAACATACTAGCCCTGGTTGATTCCGGGGCAGCTGAGAATTTCATAGATTCTAGATTTGTTAGGGAACACAACATACCCATTAGAGAGAAGAAGACACCCTTGGCCGTTGAGGCCATAGATGGTAGACCATTATGCTCCCCAGTTATCACACATGAAACTGAACCGTTGCATATGTATACAGGGATGTTACACTCAGAAACCATTCGGTTTCAGGTCATCACCTCTCCTTCCTCTCACATTGTGTTAGGGTACCCATGGTTACATTCTCATGATCCCATTTTTGACTGGGAGTCAGGACAATAGTATCTTGAAATCACCCCTTTAAATTCTATTAATGTTCCTACTACTTCTCCTTTGTCTACTGTTGTACCTCCTCAGTACATGTGTCTTAAGTCTGTCTTTGATAAAAGGTAGGCTGAAATATTACCGCCTCATAGACCCTACGATTGTGCTATTGATATACTGCCTGGCACTATACCTCCCAAAGGCAGGGTGTATCCTTTGTCTCCTCAAGAAAACCTTGTCATGGAGGAATATATTAAAGAATCTCTACAAATGGGATTTATAAGGCGATCCTCTTCTCCGACAGGAGCAGGGTTCTTCTTTGTGTCGAAGAAGGAGGGCGATTTAAGACCTTGTATTAATTATAGGGGTCTAAATAAAATCACCATAAAAAATGCTTACCCTATACCATTAATCACGGAATTATTCGACAGGCTTAAACAAGCTACTGTGTTTACTAAACTGGACCTTAGAGGTGCGTACAATCTCATATGTATAAAAAAGGGCCATGAATGGAAAACTGCATTCAATACTAGGAGTGGTCATTACGAGTATACGGTGATGCCATTTGGTCTTTGTAACGCCCCAGCGGTGTTTCAAGAATTTATTAAAGACGTCTTACGAGAGTTCATTCACTCATTTGTGATAGTGTACTTGGACGACATATTAATATATTCAACAGATTTACATACTCATCACATGCATGTTAAAACAGTTTTGAAAACCCTTCTTGTTAATGGTCTTTATTGTAAACTAGAAAAATGTTTATTTGATCAATCCGAAGTCCAGTTTTTGGGTTATTTAATTTCTGCTAAGGGTTTTCGTATGGATCCTCAGAAGCTTTCTGCTGTCATGGAATGGCCTCTACCTCAGGGTCTGAAAGCCATTCAGCGTTTTCTTGGTTTTTCCAACTATTATAGACGCTTTATTAAAGATTTTTCTTCTATTGTAGCGCCTATAACCCGTATGACTAAAAAGGATGGTAATACTCGTGTCTGGCCCCCAGAGGCGCTTGAGGCTTTTGAATTTCTTAAGACTACGTTTGCCTCTGCTAATATTTTACAGCATCCTATCCCTTCTTTGCCTTATATTCTTGAAGTTGATGCTTCTGATATTGGGGTGGGTGCTGTCTTATCTCAAAGAGAATCACATGATAAGCCATTACATCCTTGTGGCTTATTTTCCAAGCAGATGTCCAAAACCGAAAAGAATTATGACATAGGCAATCGAGAACTCCTTGCTATTGTTTTAGCACTTAAGGAGTGGAGACATCTTTTGGAGGGTACTAAGGACCCCATCCTAATTTTTACTGATCACAAAAACCTTTCCTACCTTAGTGAAGCCAAAGGATTGTCTTCTAGGCAGGCCAGGTGGTCACTGTTTTTATCTCATTTCAATTATATCATCACCTACATACCAGGTGAACATAACTCTAAAGCCGACGCTCTGTCCAGACAATTTGAAACTACCGACAAACAAGAATTTGACGATACCCCTGTCATTCCCCCGGACAGAATAATAGCTACTACGGTTCTATCTATTTCATCTTCACTCTTACAAGTTATACAGGCTAAACAAAACATGGCACCCAGTGAGAAACCTGCTGATAAACTGTTTGTTGACGTTCCCGAAAGACGAGACATTATGTCGTTATATCATGACACCAAAACTGCTGGACATCCTGGTATTTCTAAAACCTTAACAGCAGTTTCTAGATAATTTTGGTGGGCTTCCTTACGCAAGGATGTCACCGATTACGTTCGGGCATGTACTACTTGTGCCAGTATGAAGTCTTCTCATAGGGTTCTTTGTGGGTTGTTGCACCCGTTGCCCATACCCGAGAGGCCTTGGTCCAATCTATCCATGGATTTTATTGTTGAAATGCCTCCTTCGAATGGCAAAACAGTCATCCTGATGATAGTGGATCGATTTTCTAAGATGGCTCATTTTGTGTCTCTTGTTAAATTGCCCTCATCCAATGAACTTGCTTATATCTTCGCCAGGGAGGTGTTTCGGTTGCATGGTATTCCTGTATCAATTGTATCCGATAGGGGTAGCCAATTTATTTCCAGATTCTGGAAAGCTTTTTGTTCAGAGATGGGTATTTCTCTCTCGTTTTCCTCCGCTTACCACCCCCAGTCTAATGGAGCTGCTGAACGTGCCAACCAGTCCCTAGAGCAGTATCTTCGTTGTTTCGTATCCCACCATCAGAACAATTGGGCTGACCTGCTTCCTTGGGCTGAGTTTGCTCGTAACAATGCTGCTCATGAATCTTCTGGTAAAAGCCCTTTCTACATTGTTTATGGCCAGCATCCTGTTGTTCTTCCAGCTGCATTCTCCATACAGGGCATGCCAGCACTGGATGAACATTTGGCTGGTTTACGTACTACTTGGGAGCAGGTTCAGCGTTCTTTTGTGGACTCCGCTGCTCGCCAAAAGGTTCAAGCTGACAAGCATCGCTGGGCGGCTCCATCCTATGTCGTGGGGGATAGGGTTTGGCTTTCCACTCGCAATATCCGCCTTCGTGTGCCTTCTATGAAGTTGGCTCCCCGTTTTATTGGTCCTTTTCGTATTTTGCATAGAGTCAATCCTGTTTCATATGCCTTGGATCTTCCTAGGAACCTACGTATTCCTAACTTCTTTCACACCTCCTTGTTGAAGCCCCTCCTGTGTAACCGCTATACCCGGCATTTTCCTCCTCCCCCTCCTGTTTCTGTGGAGGGTCATGAGGAATTCGAAGTAGCTACTGTGCTTGACTCTTGTTTTCTCAGGGGTCGCCTCCAGTACCTGGTGCATTGGAAGGGTTATGGGCCTGAGGAACGCAGTCGGCTTTCCGCTGATGCTGTTCATGCTCCTTGCCTTGTGCGTTCCTTCCATTCTCGTTTTCCTGCCAGGCCTGGTCCTCCCCGCCCGGTGGGCGTGTCTTCAGGGGGGGTACTGTAGCGGTACTTACCTTACCCGGGGGCCGGCCGAGGTTCTCTCTTCCCGCCGCGCGCGGCTCTCGGATGCGTGTCCCGCCTAGCTCTAAGAGCGTGCCGCGCGTCTCGGGCACGCTCTTAAAGGGGCAGTGGGAGCCAAAAAATACAACGGTCTCCCATTGGCCCCTGTCATCCCACATTCCCCATACACTCACATTTTGGGTGCGTGGATATGACAGGGGCCAATCCAAGTAAAGGTTAGGGTATTTATACTTACCTCTCCCTTAACTCCCTGCCCCATCGTGGTTTCTGTTCCAGTTCCCTTTAGCGCTTGTTGTGTTCAGTTGTGATTTTCGTGCTTGACCTTGGCTTTGTATCTGACTCCGTTTATCTCTCTATCCCTGTTTTGTCTTGTTTGCCGGCTTACTGTCTACTGTGTACCAGACCTTGGCTAGTTTTTGTTCTTGCAGTCTCTTTGTTCCCTTGACCTCTGCTTGTTCTTGACTCTGTCTATTCTCTGCTATAGGGCGAGTCCGGCCATTCTAAGGTCCGGTAAGACGTATCTGCTCTATCTGTCGATTGTTGGACTAAATCTTGCGTGTTGGGGTAAACTACCGTGACAAGTATGTGGTGAGTTTGCTGGGATGGGACCTGGGTTTGGAGAGACATCACCAGCTGTTAGGAGCAGAAGGATAGAAAGGAAGTGAAGGTGGGAGTAGGATTTGAAAGTTTTGTAGGAGGGTATGTATATAGAGGATTTGGGAGGAGTTGGTGGAGATAGGTTGGAAAGGTATGTGTAGAGTGCATGGGATGAATAGAGAGGGGAGGGTAGTAAGGTGGAAGTAATGAAGATGGTGTTGCCAGGGACAGGTGAGCAGAAGGATAGTAATGAGAGAAGTTAGTGTTAAAGTGAAAAATAGAAGGGAGAACATTAGAGAAAATGTGTATTATTAATTATATATATGCACATATATAAATCATAGATATATTTGTATACACCAGGGCCGTCTTTAGCGCGGGGCAAACGGGGCAGCTGCCCCGAGCCCAGTTGCTCCTGGGGGGGCCCCAGAGCAGCTGCCCCGTGGGCCCCGCGATTTCAGCAGCCCCCATGTACCCGGCGGCCAGCGGTGCAGCCGCACCGGCCCGCCAACTAAGGAGGCCCCCGGGTGGCCCATGCACTAAGGGCCACCCTGTGGGCATGTGGCAGAAGGGGCCCGGTCGGGCGCTGTGACGCTTAAACAGCGCGACCGGGCCCCTTCCTGTACCGGCTGGGAGGAAGTGAGTACCGCGTGTCACTTCCTCCCACCGGAGATAGCCGCGCGGGAGGAGGAAGGCAGGGAGGAGGGGAGTTCCAGACAAGAACTCCCATCTGCCTCAGCCTGCCACTGGACCCCAAGGAAACCACCCTCCATAAAAAGGTAAGAACCTGGAGGGTGGCTAAATGTATGTCAGTATGTGTGTGTGTTAGTATGTCTGTGTTTGTGTGTTAGTATGTCTGTGTGTGTTAGTATGACTGTGTTTGTGTGTTAGTATGTCTGTGTGTGTGTGTGTGTGTGTGTGTGTGTGTGTTAGTATGTCTGTGTGTGTTAGTATGTCTGTGTGTGTTAGTATGTCTGTGTTTGTGTGTTAGTATGTCTGTGTGTGTTAGGATGTCTGTGTTTGTGTGTTAGTATGTCTGTGTGTGTGTGTGTTAGTATGTCTGTGTGTTAGTATGTCTGTGTGTGTTAGTATGTCTGTGTTTGTGTGTTAGTATGTCTGTGTTTGTGTGTGTGTGTGTTAGTATGTCCGTGTTTGTGTGTTTGTGTGTGTGTGTTAGTATGTCTGTGTGTGTTAGTATGCCTGTGTGTGTTAGTATGTCTGTATGTGTGTGTGTGTTAGTATGTCTGTGTGTGTGTGTTAGTATGTCTGTGTGTGTGTTTTAGTATGTGTGTGTGTTAGTATGTCTGTGTGTGTGTGTGTGTTAGTATGTGTTTGTGTGTTAGTATGTCTGTGTCAGTATGTCTGTTTGTGTATGTATGTCAGTATGTCTGTGTGTGTCTATGACAGACATACTGACATACACACACAGACATACTGACACATACACACACACAGACATACACACACACTGACATACTGACATACACACACACAGACATACACACACAAACATACTGACATACACACACAGACATACTAACACACACAGACATACTGACATACACACACAGACATGCTGACATACACAGACATACTGACATACACACACAGACATACTAACACACCACACAGACATACTAACACACACAGACATACTGTGTGTATGTCTGTGTGTTTGTATGTCAGTATGTCTGTGTGTGTATGTCAGTATGTCTCACTGTGTTCCAGTGTGTGTGTGTGTATGTCAGTATGTCTGTGTATGTCAATACGCCTGTCAGTGTATGTGTCTGTGTGTGTCTGTGTCAATATATCTGTCAGTGTATGTGTCTGTGAGTATGTATGTGTCTGTGTGTGTATCAGTATGTCTGAATGTGTGTCAATGTTTGCCAGTATATATTTTTGTGTCAGTGTATGTGTGTGTCAGTATGTATCTGCGAATGTTTTAATGTGTCTGTCTGTGTGTGTGTGTCAGTATGTCTGTCAGTGTGATTGCGGGTTGGGCGTAATGGGGAGGGAGGGTGCAGTGACAGGGCCCAGGGGGCCCAAGAAAAGGCTTTGCCCGGGTTCCTATTCATATTATAGACGGCCCTGGTATACACACATATTACACACATATTGTGTCTAATACAGCTACTATAGCTGGGCTGCTTGGATTGTGCCTAATACAGCTACTCTAGTTGGGCTGCTCTGATTATGTCTCATACAGCTACTATAGCTAGGCTGCTCGGCCATGGAAAATAATGTACTTGTGAACAGAATATAAAAAAATGCTATTCCACAGTGAGATGTAAATTCACTGCTTCTAGAAGGTTACATAAACCGCCTTAATGTCTCTGATCTTATCTCATATAAGTATTATTTTTATCTTTTTAGATTTGTCTCCTATGCCATTAATTAAAAATATGTACAGTAAGGGGAAAAAGTATTTGACCCCCTGCTGATTTTGAACGTTTGTCCACTGACAAAGAAATGATCAGTCTATAATCTTTTTTTTTTAAATTCTTTATTTTATTTGTGCGTGAGTTAACAACTTGCGAGCAGGGCCACAACAGCATCTGCCAGCATTTTCATGGCATCACAAAGCGTGGCAATGTAAACAGCACATTTTTTATATATATATAACATGAAGGTCACAGGCTATGAAACTTTAGCAATTAGTAGTAGACAAGCTAGGTCAAATATGCATATAAAGTAATTATTCACCCTTAAGCTGATGGTTTGTATGTAGGTAACTTGTTGAGACAAAATGACGTGAACACACGTTTAACGAAAGGCCATCAAGCTTGAGTCATGTAACAAGTATTAGTTACGCATGAGACGGTAGCTTTAAACATGAATTACACTCTGTTTGCATAATAAAGTAAATAAAACAGTTAATGCCTAAGAGCACTATTCTAGCTATACCCCTATTGTTACCATGTCACAGGCTAAACATGTAGCTTCTAACATGCTAGTCAGGGATGTCCAGGTTGTGAGGGCTTGTAGCAGGTCCATGAGTAGTGCTAACCAAAGTATTAGACAACTAACATAAGAATATAATAATTAATATTGCATAACATGTCTATTCTTTCTAGCTATACCATTATTGTCATGAAGTCACAGGCTTGACATGTAGTTTCCAACATGCTAGTCAGGGATGTCTAGGTTGTGAGAGCTTGTAGCAGGTACATAAGTAGTGCTAAACACAGATTTTCTGTGGGATTAAGGTCTGGAGACTGGCTAGGCCACTCCAGGACCTTAGTGCGCTTCTTCTTGAGCCACTCCTTTGTTGCCTTGGCTGTGTGTTTTGGGTCATTGTCATGCTGCCATTTTCAATGCCCTGGCTGAGGGAAGGAGGTTCTCACCCAAGATTTGACAGAACATGGCCCCGTAAATCGTCCCTTTGATGCAGTTGTCCTGTCCCCTTAGCAGAAAAACACCCCCAAAGCATAATGTTACCACCTCCATGTTTGACGGTGGGGATGGTGTTCTTGGGGTCATAGGCAGCATTCCTATCTTGATTCGTGGATGCAAAATAAATATGAAATAAGAACTGTTAAGACAGAAAAATTGACAAAATCTAGTGCAGTACCATAAAGTACATAAATAGCTTCATATGGAATATGTGATTCGGTACTCACAAAAGTAGAGCCAAAGGGAAATGGCTCAATTCAAACGCCTGTGGGATGATTGTAAGGGTTCCCACTCCCTTTCAGTGCAGCAGCTGTGTCTGGATTCTTTGATGGTATTATGAAGAGACCATAATCATTCAGATAGAAGACAGTTCTTCTTTTAATTAAAAAAAGGGTATACATAAAATACAAATAGGACTTTAAAATACAGAAAAATAAAATTTCTGATAAAAAGTCACTCAATGTGGAATAAAATTAGTTACCAAAAATTGGAGAGGAGGAGATTATGTGACTAAACTAGGGAAGGAGAAAATGTAATTTATTTTTAATTTCAACACCCTGATACCTAACGGTTTGAATTCTGATTTTGAGATCTGCCATTTCCTCAAAACATAATATTTTCTCTATATTACACAATGGGTCATCTGACAATACTGTATATGTTATCTGCACCTAAGTATACGATATTAATGATTTTACAGATATTTTTTGTATGGGATTTGTTTTTTCCTTTTAAGACTCACTTTATTCCTTCTTTTTTCTAATCATATAAATGTGTATATTTCTTTTTTATTATATAGATGCTTATACCTTTAAAATATATGGATTACTCAATGTTCTCATCTTTTAATATACAGATAACTTAATAGTTATTTTTGCACTCCTAGTTTTTGTATAAGGGCCTTTTTATAATTCAGTATTTTATATTTTTTTCTGATATACATGACAATATGTACAAAGAATATGTATATATGATATATATTCATTCCCTTCAGAAGTGGAACGCATATGCGTTCCATAAGTAAAGGGAAATGAAGAATGGGGATAAGGTTAGAACAGAATCCGGACATTAGACACATGTAATAAAGTTTTTTCACTAGATGGAACGCATATGCGTTCCAACGTCAGAGGAATCTGGAAACCGGAAACACGTCAAGAACAGGAAGCCGGAAATGACGACGGGACACGGAACACGGAAGTGATGAATCTACAACAGATGTTTGGCATCCCCTCATCACAGAAGAATATATAAGAACTATCAGTAGGAAGGTAACACCAGGAACAACTGAGGAAGCCTAAATATTAGGCGAAACGCATCTTGCTATTCCAGAGTGGACTATTTTTACTTTTTTATCACATTGAGTGACTTTTTATCAGAAATTTTATTTTTCTGTATTTTAAAGTCCTATTTGTATTTTATGTATACCCTTTTTTTTTATTAAAAGAAGAATTGTCTTCTATCTGAATGCTTATGGTCTCTTCTTCATAATACCATCAAAGAATCCAGACACAGCTGTTGCACTTAAAGGGAGTGGGAACCCTTACAATCATCCCACAGGCGTTTGAATTGAGCCATTTCCCTTTGGCTCTACTTTTGTGAGTACTGAATCACATATTCCATATGAAGCTATTTATGTACTTTATGGTACTGCACTAGATTTTGTCAATTTTTCTGTCTTTACAGTTCTTATTCCATATTTATTTTGCATCCACGAACCAAGATACTCCACCTACTCTGTATGTATTTATGGGCCTGTACATGTGCTTTCTTGAGCAAGAGGACCTTGCGGGTGTTGCAAGATTTCAGTCCTTCACGGCGTAGTATGTTACCAATTGTTTTCTTGGTGACTATGGTCCCAGCTGCCTTGAGATCATTAACAAGATCCTCCCTTGTAGTTCTGGGATGATTCCTCACCGTTCTCATGATCATTGAAACTCCATGAGGTGAGATCTTGCATGGAGCACCAGACCGAGGAAGACTGACAGTTATTTTGTGTTTCTTCTATTTGCGAATAATCTCACCAACTGTTTACCTTCTCACCAAGCTGCTTGGCGATGGTCTTGTAGCCCATTGCAGCCTTGTGTAGGCCTACAATCTTGTCCATGACATCCTTAGACAGCTCTTTGGTCTTGGCCGTGGAGGAGAGTTTGGAATCTGATTGATTGCTTCTGTGGCGATGGAGAAACTCCTGAAAGGCGAGACCGTTCTAAGAGAGTGCTTTAAGAGAGTGCTCCTAATCTCAGCTCGTTACCTGTATAAGAGACACCTGGGAGACAGAAATCTTGCTGATTGATAGGGGATCAAATACTTAGTTCACTCATTGACATTCAAATCAATTTATAACTTTTCTGACATGCATTTTTCTGGATTTTCTTTTTTTGTTGTTATTCTGTCTCTCACTGTTAAAATGCACCTACCATTAAAATTATAGACCGATCATTTCTTTGTCAGTGGACAAACGTTCAAAATCAGCAGGGGATCAAATACTTTTTTCCCTCACTGTATAACTGGGGGTTCCTTTGTATTGAAGTGGCTGAAAGCACTACCCCCCTCTCCGCTCATTTACCCACATCCCTTTCTGTCCAGACACCTCATTCCCTTCATCTTCCTGTTATACTAAAACTTCCTGCTTTTCTGTGTATGCTAGAGACTCTGACAAAGACACTTACCTATCCTGTGTGAACCTCCAGGTAACGGAATCTTTGTCACAGCCACTTCCTTGTCAGCACTGTAATGCTCGGTTTATCTGTACCTCCCGTCCAGGGAATTTGCTTTCCTCAGTTCTGCTGTAAAATTAGCAGAAACCAAGACAGTTTTTTATCAAATTGCTGTTGTTCAGCCTGAGCAATAAGGCAGGACTTCCATAAGTAAAGTATCTTTAACCATCGCCGTCCTGTGTGCTAATTGCTAGTATTTTATTCACAATGCCTGAAAATGGGCAGTCCTAAAACCTGTATTTTTTTGGTTTTCTGTTTTTCCACTTTTTCACTAATGCACCAGAATAATCAGTATTTCTGCCAATTTTTATTCCTCTTTTGCATTTTTTGCTCCTTTTTTCCTGATAATTTACCA